GGCTCAGCTGGGCGGCTCTGCTGACCTTGTCTGGGCTCAGCTGGGCGGCTCTGCTGACCTTGTCTGGGCTCAGCTGGGCGGCTCTGCTGACCTTGGCTGGGTTCAGCTGAGTGGTTCTGCTGATCTTGGCTGGGCTCAGCTGGGCGGCTCTGCTGATCTTGTCTGGAGTTGCTCATATGTCAGGGAATTGACTGATTTAGGCTGGTCTCCGCTCTGCACATCTTGCATCCTTCTCCTGGAATCAGCTTAATTCTCATGGTGATACCAGAAGTACAAGAGGATAAACAGAAACAGGCAAGTACATTTCAAGCCTGCTGGTACATCTGCTAAATGTTACTGGTCAACATCAAGGATCTGGGAAGTGTACTCTGCCCAGGGGAATGAGGGCTGGAGAGCAGACACTTGCTTCTAATTTGCCATGGAAGGCAGTGTACCATCACACTGTCAGTAAGTGATGGAGTTGGGCCAGAACTCAGACATCATGAGCCCCAAATCTGGCCCACTATCCCAGGGACACCTTTCTACATGAATAGAAGTGTCAACTGCCTGAGTCCTTGGTTGCCTAGAGTTGAGAGGGATCTCTCAAAGTAGCTGGGACTCTTGCCAACTGTGATGTGGCTACCAGGGATCCAGATGGTGCACAGGCCCATGCTGGTGAGGAAGGAAAGATAGAGCTGTAAGGAGCCCTGATCCTAGCTAAGGTGAGCACTCAGCTACCAGGGTCCAGTGGATGCAAGGGAGGAAGAGGCTGAATGGGCCAAGAGAATCTGACCAGGCTTCTCACTCCCCTTCCAACACCCCCATGAGACCTGGCCTCTCCCGGGGCCTCTCTTCTTGCATACCACAGGGAGCTCACCACCACCAGCATCCCTGCCCCTTTCTGGGTGCTGGGCAACTCAGGGTGGGAGAAGGGTCTAGTGTTGGAGCTGCACAGAGCTGCTGTCTTAGCCCCCTGACTGTGTGATCTTGGCTACATCAACCAGTGACTCTGAGCCTCTGTGGAAAAGGGAGGAAGATGATAAACATCCCTGTGGCACTGGGGTGAGGATGAGATCAAAGAATGCAGAGACCGGCCTATGCCTGACATGAAGCAAGCTGCAAGGAAGAGCGAATCTCGTCCCTTCCAAGCTCTCCCTCTTTCTACACTGTCCCCAAGGCCTAGAATGCCCCCTCCCTTTTCCTCATCTAGCAAGCTCCTACTAACACCTGAAAACCCTGCCCACATGTTCCCTCCACTGAGGAGCCTTCCCTGGGCATACTGCTTCTCTGTTTCCCACTGTCACCCAGAAGCCTCTCTTAGACACTACACACTAGGGATGCCTGAAACCACCCATCTCTCTGCCTCAGCTTCCTCATGTATAAAATAGAAAGAACAAAAGTACCTGTTTGACAGGGTTATATTCAGCAAATCTGCGTGAACACTTGCTATGTGCCAGGCACTGTTCTGCAGGCTCAGAACACACCAACCAACAAACCAGAAGACATTCCCTGTCTTCCTGGGATTCCACCTGGCACACAGCAGGGCTTAGAAAATGGTGAGCCACTGCTGCCACCGGCCCCAGTGTTGGCCCATGAAGGCCATGGTACTAAGAGGCGAGCAGTTCCTCCTCCCAGACAGCCCTCACTCTAGAGCCAGGGCGGGACTCTGGCCCCCAGGGCAGCCCGTTGCTCTAAGCTGAGGCTTGAGCTCTGACTTGGGAACACTCACCTCTCAGAAGCCTGCTGTCCGCCTCTGCTTAAGCCCCCCACTCCTGCTGATAACACCTGTCGACCTGTGTGGAGAATTAATTACCTGCCCTTTGTAAAAATGCTTCCCAGAACAGAGTTGCTGTGAAAGGGCTAATTTTTGTATCATCATCGGCAAAGTTAAGCCATATTAATCTGTCAAAGCAAGTTTTTGCTAAGAATAGATTCTTGTCTGCGATTATGCAGCTCAGTGAGGAGATAACCTCGGTGAGATTTATGTCTTGGCCTTGAAATAATGAAATAGGAGCAAACTGGTGAGCGTGCAGCCCCAGGCAGGCATGTGGGAACCCGACTGGGCACGGGGGAAAGTAGAGCCAAGTGCACGGAGCCCACGGGGGCATAACAGACATCAAACTACAGCCTCACGGGCTGGGCACGGTGGCTCACACCTGGAATCCCAGCATTCTGGGAGGCTGAGGCAGGTGGATCACCTGAGATTGGGAGTTTGAGACCAACCAGACCAACATGGCGAAACCCCATCTCTACTAAAAATACAAAAATTAGCCAGGCATGGTGTCACATGCCTGTGATCCCAGCTACTTGGAAGGCTGAGGCAGGAGAATCGCTTGAACCTGGGAGGTGGAGGTTCCAGTGAGCCAAGATCGTGCCATTGTACTCCAGCCTGGGCAACAGAGTGAGATTCCGTCTCAAAAAAATAAATAAAAATTATACATATATATATATAAAAAACACCCGCATGGCTCAGAAGGCCTGGGCTATCCTGTATGTGTGGCCATGGCATCTCCAAGGATGAAAGTGCAGAGGCAGGACAAACTGGGCCACTCACAGGACCTCCTGGGCCACTCATAGGACCTCCTGACTATGTCCCTACTGCAGCCACACAGCCTCTCAATGAATGGGCAAACTGTACCTGAGGACTTAGTGCTCATAAAAGTGATGCCTGATTATTGCAGAATTCTTGGAAGATACAGAAAGTTATAAAAAGGGAAATAAGGTATAACCAGAATCACACCATCCAGAAAAATAGTAACTGGGTATTTTTGTTCTTTACAATCTTTTCACTCATACACACATTACCAAGTCGTCATTGGGATCACACATGTGCGTGACTTTTCAGCCCTCTGTTTTTCTCTTAACTCTGGGTCACGAATCTTTGCCCAGGCCACTTGACCTGTGCCCTATCTGGGGATACCTCCTTCCCTCAATGGGGAAATGCAGGGATGGCTTTAACAGAGGAGTGGCATGATCAGATATGTTTTAGGATGATCCAGCTTCATTGGAAGGTGGTTTTGAATCTGTTTGCATCTTGAATTCAGCATAAAACTTCATTCACTGCACAGTCCATGGTCACTCTTCTGAGGCATGAGGCTGCGATGAGTGCTAGGCATCTAGGTGGCTGGTGCTGCATCTCCCAGTCCTGGTCCATCTGGCAGTCTTTGATGATTTGCTAGACACTTCTTTAGGGCACCCTCTGGCCCCTATATGCCAAACAGGCAGAGAAGGGAGAGTCCTGGGGCAGCATCAGCCCCCAGCTTGGCCTGCCTCCAGCCCTGCAGGAACCCAGGCCCACTTCAGTCAACACTGCAGCATTCTGCATGGACTCCCAGGGCCACAGCCTGTCCCGGGGGTCTCCTGTCCTTGTCCTGGGTGGCCTCGGAGGAAGCCCCGTCTCTGACGACATGCACCCGAGGTTAGTTCTGGGGCTCCTGATGCACACTGGCCTGCCACCTGTGCAGGGCATCCGGTGCCCTGTGGGCGGGCTCCTCCAGGCCTGCTGGCATTGCCCTTCCTTTCACCTGGTGGCCCAGGCTCGGGTGGGAGTGATTGTGTCAGACACCAGCACGGTGCCTGCAGCTGCCTCAGGAGCTGGGGGAGACGTCTGTTTGGCCATCAGCAGGCCCCAAGGTGAATGCAAAGGGGTTCATAGTGCTGCCTGTGTTCACCAGTGGCCTGCAGGCCATAACTGGCCACCCCACAGGGAACCCTGAGGAGGGTTCCACTTCTCTGGCCTGAGTGCCAGGCAACCACGATAGGCCACTAGTGGTGAGGGGTGGGGAGAGGTAGCTAGGGTTTGTGAAGCGGCACCCTCTAATTCAACTCTGCCCACTGTGCACGCAGCAAGTGACCAGATGTGCACAGCTCATCAGGGGAATGGGAGAGGTTGATGGAGACCAGCCCATGAGCTCTGGTCTTCTAGAAAACCTAGAATATCAAAGCATGGCAGAGCCAGGGCGGCCTCTGCCAGGCACACTGCTGCTGGGGACTCCCGCACCACACCCCTGCTGAGCTCCTTCTCCTGATTAGAGCTGCCTTCTGCAGTGCGGAAGCCAAACGCTGCCTACCAAGATCACAGCGGCCTCCTTCCCCAGCAAGCCGCCTCTGTCTTCCTTCCTGAGCTATCTGCGGGGGCAGGAGGGTAGGACTGAAAGGTGCCAGACCTGCTTTTCCATTGTAAGAAATCAGAAGAATCTATTGCAGCGGGCAACGTCTTAACATCTCACAGATGTTCAGTGGGGCCTATTTGTCGCCATTCGATCCAGGTGTTTCTGGAACCCTCAGGTGGCTCTCCAAGGGTGACACAGTGCCCAGACTCCTGCCACCCAGGGCCCTGTGGTCTTCAGCTCGGACTCCCTGGGTTCCCCTGGGGATGGTCTCAGTCCCTCAATCATCTTCAGGATGTGCCTCTGCAATGGACATGGGGCACCTTTCAGCTGAATTTGCAACCTTTCTTTTTTTTGTTGTTTTCTAACAGCTTTGTTGAGATCTCACATCCCACATAGTTCACCTTTCGAGTGCAAGTTCAGTGGCTTTTAGTCTATTCACAGAGTTGGGCCACCATCACCACTGTCCCTTTTAGGACATTTTTACCACCCAAAAAAGAAGCCCCTGATCCTTAGCTGTCACCTCCCTATCCCCCATCAGCCTCCAGCCCCTGGCAATCACCTGTCCATTCCTGGCTCTATAGATTCCCTGCTCCGGGCATTGCTCATGGATGAATCGTACAACATATAGTGCAACCCGTACATCTGTTAAATCCTAGAGAAGACAAATAAAGCCCATCTGCCGACTGCAGCCGCCACCCGGTCGCATCTTATCCAAGTAAATATCCAATTTCCTGAACGGTTTAACATTTAAGTTAGGGTCACCTGTGTAAAACGTAAGCAATTCATGGGCCAGAAGAAAGTGTTATTATAACATGAAATGAAGAGAGAGGTTATCTCTGACGTGGATGTTAGTAGATGATATGACACCGCAATGATGAGGGGATTCTGGAATGAACCCTGCAGAGCGGGTCAGCAGGCCTCACCGTCACTGTCTCCATTTTGCAGATGAGGAAACTGAGCCCTGAGGCTGCCCAGAAAATTAGTGGTGCCTCTTAAGTTACAATTTGGATCTCTGGGCACCTAGTTCTAGGATATTTCTAAGCTGGAGATTTTTAACAGAAAAAAAATAATCGTAAGGTGGCAAATACAATGTTTACCATTCTTATAAGTAAACAATTAGGCAGTACCTTGCCCAGGGGAAGGGCTGGACCCCAGAGGTGTGCCATATTAATCCAATATCCTGTGAAGCAGAGGTTATTGTCCCATCTCACAGAGAAGAAAGAAAGGCACAGGAAAGTTAAGCATTTTTCCTAAGGCCACACCTCCATTTAGAGGAGGTACGAGGAGTCTAAGCCCTGCCCTTTCTGTGACCAGCCTGAGGACTGCCCTGCCTCAATTTACCCTGTGGAGTTCCCTGACTTGGGGAAATTAGGAAGGCTGAGCCCAGAGTCATTCCCCCACAAAGCCTTTCGGCATCTGTCGGGTCAGTGGGGTCTCTGGTGGTGCACCTATGTCACCAAGGAGGACTCGGCCAGCCAGACGTCTGAGACCCAGTATCTCAGGCTGCCAGAGGGAGATCAGGAGAAATGGGGTCTCCAGAACCAGCCCCCTGGGGCTCTTGCACACTTAACCCACCCCTCTGTATCTCAAAGTGGGAGAGTCTTATGGGGTGACATCCTCTGATGCCAGGGATACTGTGGTCACATAAGAGGCTCCCAATAAAGATTCTGCATAGGTGAATGAATGAATATGAGCTTGGGCCATGCAGGCTCCAGGAATCACATCCCACAGCCCAGCACTGCACAGAGGAGCCATGTTGGGGAACCCACCTGCCGGGACCCATGCCCAAGAGCCCTCAGTGGGAGAAGCCCCAGCAGCTGCATCCATGAGCAGAGGCACCACACCCAGGGGCTGCGGGAGTCCCTAATCTAGACCAGGGAACCAACAAATCCTCCTGGGTGTCTCACCATACCCAGATGCTGTGGGGGTCCCTAATCTAGACTAGGGAACCAACAGATCCTTCCAGGTGCCTCGCTTGTGCCCGCTTCCACCTCCCAGGCTGTCAGCACAGGATCTGCTGAAGCTTCCCTTGTCCTTCCCACCCTTTCCCTAGAGGTCAGCCTCACACCCTCTTCCCATCCTCTATCCATTCCTCCAAGGCACTCCTGGCCCAGCCTTCTCTCCCCAAAAGCCACAGGGGCAGGTTTGTCATCGGGCCTAGTTTTCCTAAGGATGCTCCTACTCATGTGTTGACAATTGCTTCCTTTCTCTTCCTTGCAGCCAGACTGCCACCTGCACCTGCACCTGCGCTGGGCAGACAACCCCTATGTATCAGGCACCGTGCACACCAAGGACACCGCCCCAGGCCTCATCATGGGGGCAGGTAGGTGGCTTCCATCACGGGCAGCTGACAGGTGCCATTACAGCCCAAGAGTACCTCCAATCTCAAGGGTCAAAATGGATGGTCATGGGCCTGAGGGCATAGTATGTCCCTTAGGAAGCAGTACCACTGCATCTCCAGGAAGCTGAGCTCTCATGGCAAATTCTGAGAAGTGAGTGCATGGCCCAGGGTGGGCATATGATATGTGTCGGCAGAATGGAAAGATGAACAGATGGAAGAGTTGACCAATGGATGGATGGATAGATGAAGTGATAGATGATGGGTGGGTAGATGTTGGATGAATGATGGCTGGCTGGATGATGGACAGATGGTGAATGGATGGATGGAGGATGGATAGGTGAATGGATCGATGATGGATGGATGGATGATGGTAGATGAGTGGTAGATGGGTGGTAGATGGGTGGGTGGGTGGATGGATGAGTGGATGGATGGATGAGTGGGTGGGTGGATGATGGATGATGGATAGATCCTGAATTGATGGATGGATAGATGAATGGATGAATGACGCATGATGGATGGATGATGGTGGATGGGTGGTGGATAGGTGGATGAGTGGGTGGATGGGTGTGTGGATGGTTGGATGGGTGGATGGATGATGGATGATGGATAGATGCTGAATTGATGGATGGATGATGCATGATGGATGGATGATGGTGGATGGGTGGATGGATGGGTGTGTGGGTGGATGGATGAGTGGATAGATGGATGAGTGGATGAATGGACAAGTGGGTGAATGGATGATGGATGATGGATAGATGCTGAATGGATGGATGGATAGATGAACGGATGGATGATGCATGATGAATGGATGATGGTGGATGGGTGGTGGGTAGGTGGATGGATGGGTGGATTGGTGTGTGGATGGATGGATGAGTGGATGGATGATGCATGATGGATAGTTGCTGAATGGATGGATGGATAGATGAATGTATGGATGATGCATGATGGATGGATGATGGTGGATGGGTGGTAGATAGGTGGATGGGTGGGTGGATGGGTGTGGGGACAGATGGATGAGTGGGTGGATGGATGACAGATAGATGCTGAATTGATAGATGGATGATGCATGATGGATGGATGTTGGTGGGTGGGTGGGTGGATGATGGATGATGGATAGATGCTGAATGGATGGATGGATAGATGAATGGATGGATGATGCATGATGGATGGATGATGGTGGATGGGTGGTGGATAGGTGGATGGGTGAGTGGATGGATGAGTGGATGGGTGGATGATAGATGGATGATGGGTGATAGATGATGGGTGAATGGATGGATGGATGATGAATGAATGACAAATGGATAGAAAAATGGATAGATGGGTAGGTGGATAAATGGATGGATGATTTGTATCATGGTTGATATTTATTGGCCCCTGAAAAAAGTTCTAGTTTAATGGGGGGAGAAAAACAAGCATACAACTAGCCCTTTTTTGAAAACCCAAAATTATAATTTTTGTGTCTGTCTCTTCCGCTAAACTGGAACATCCAAGAATCCTGGTATGCTGATCAAATAATACCATAAAATGAGGTTGATTTGCTTTAGAAGAACCATTCAAAACACAAAGTAGAGCCACCTGTCTGGGGTCACTCAGCTGGTGTGTGGGAGAGCCGGGCAAGACTTTGCACATGGGGTCTGTGACAGTCAGAGAGGCAGCGTCTCCTGCAGAAGCTGGACAGCAGAGGCACAGGCCCACAGCTCACACTTCCTGAACCCAGGACCCCTTCCCTCCATTTCCCCCAGCACCATCTACCACACAGAGGGGTTGGCCACGTGGCCAACAGCCAAGGACCATATGGATGTGAACCCCAGACTCTGAGCTGGACACATCTGACCCTTCACCATATCCCAGCACCGAGCTGGGGCCTGGCTCAGGGTGGGCCCTCCAAGGCTGTTTGTGAATGAGTGAGTGACGGGACAAGTGAATGAGTGGCCATGTTGTGATGGCAGGAATGGCCTTCTGGGTGGAAGGGGGAACATGGGGACCCCAAAGGACCAGACCAGAGTGAATGAGTGGCTGGAGGTGAAGCCTACTTGCAGGGCTGGTCTGACGGCAGAGACCTGGCCTGTCTGGGGAGAGTGGGGCTTTGCAGCTGGGAAGAGAGGGGATTGTGAACAAAGCCCTTTAGCTTCTGGAGTTCCTCTGTGTGCTCTATATGCCCGGGGTCCTAGGCAGTGACAGCCCATCTGGACAGCCTCTGTCTGCCCCCACAATGACCAATGAAAATGCGACCCGTCAGCGTCAATGTGAAGCCACTCACTGCCTATCAGCTTCCACGCACAGACAGACTCACCAGCCACGTTAGATGCCCCCAGTCCTGTGGACTTGGTTTCCTGGGCTTCTCAGTGACAGGGTATTTAAAATGCACTATCTTGATTGGCTGAAACCCCAAATTCTTGACCAAAATACAAAAGGCATAATTTCCAATGTTTCCACCGCTCAAAGGCCCTGAGAGCCCAGAAAGAGCATCCCGGTCCCCCACCATCTCTCAGTGCGTCCCTGAATTGTGCAGGAGTCACACAGAGCACTGAGAGCAGCTCCCCTCACTCTGTGGGGGTGTCAGTCACAGCCAGTCACAGCCTTCCTCCCTCCCTGCCTGCCCCCCCCTCCACACTGTCCCTACGAGGGCAGGAGGCTACACTTCTATTTTATTCCACTTCTGTTCAGTCTTGGGCAGGGCTTTCCTGGAAGATGGAGCCAGCTGTGCAATGTGGGTCAATTGATGTGTCCATTGTTTCCATCCTCCTCTCCAGCCCTGAGCATCTGCTGAGAGCAGGAGGAAAAGGCACGTGGGCTGGCTGCACATCTGCTGGCCCGACATGGCCGCCTGCCCTGGCACAGGTCCCGAGGCCATGTGGCTGTACTGCTGGAGGCGGCTGGGGATGATGGCTACCTGTTTCCATAGGGTCGCTCCCCTGCCCACCCCGTCATTCATTCCTGAATTCCATCCCCGAGCCAGGCAGATAAGAGGGATAAGCCCCAGGCTCTACACCTGCCAGCTGTAGGACTCAGATTTCACTGCACTTCTCTGAGCCTGTTTCCTCATCTGCAAAATGAGACGACAAAATCTCCACTGTAAGAATGAAACAGGGTAAGACAGGAAACCTTCAAGGCAGTTGTGCTCTGCCAGGCTGTCCTCTCATCCAAGGGGACGCTGGACACTCCCGCCCGCATGCCAGGCACTGCACTGGATGCTGGAAATGAGGGAGTTAAGACTCAGTCACTCAGGGGTGAGCAGAGGAGCAAAGGGATGATGATCACAGGGCCAGATGCATCCTGATGCCAAGTTCCTACAAGATGGTCCAGAGGGACGTAGGGTATGGGCACTCAATTCTGCCCTGGGGTTTGGATCGAGCCTGCTGGACAAATGGGCATCTGCCAAGCCGACCCACAGGGAGGAGGATGCTTGAGGCAGAGGGCACCGCGTGTGCAGGGTGGAGGTGGGGGAGTGCCGTGCTGGGGTCTCAAGCTCGAGGAGATGCATTCTAGTCTCTGGGGACCATCCTTAGGTCCAGCCTACAGAGATCAGACTGCAGAGGGACCCAGAAAGTGGGGCCGTGGCTCCAACTATTAATAGAAGGGGATGGATTTGAGAAGCAAAGACAGAAACTTGACTTCTAACCCCCCCGGTAGAGAATCAGCCATGTTGAGCCCAGAAATCAACCCAGCTGTGGCTGAGGGTGCTGGTGGCGGGTTCTTCCCGACTGGGCATGTAGCAGGACTGAAGGGCTGGCTCCCTTCCGAGTGCTCCTGTGGTGGACTGAGTGGCATCTGAAGGATACGTCATCTTCATCCGTTCTTCCTCATCTTCACCCTTTCTTCCTCATCTTCACCCTTTCTTCCTCATCTTCACCCTTTCTTCCTCATCTTCATCCTTTCTTCCTTTCAATAGACTAGGATAGGAATCCTCACGCTGAGTTATACCCTATGAGATCAATGCTTCCTGCTCCACACCTTCGGGGCTCCCAGCAAGCCAGTGTTCCTGGACCCTGCACGGTCTGTGACCAGCTGCTTCCTACCACCCCCATCACCGAGGCTACTCTCCATGCCTCGGGCAGGTCCCTGGGTTCCTGCTCCAGCTCATGTGCCTCCCCCAGAAAGCCAAAGAGTGCAGAGTGGGTGCCAACCCCCACCTGCTCCTCAGATACCATGGGTGCCCCAGGTGGTTATGGAGTCCGCTCCCTGTACTGCCCTTTGCCCCATCCTGGTCACTGGTCTATATCCCAGCTGATCATCCAGACGTCCTCAGGACCCGACACAGAGCAGAGGCCGATGAACACTTCTCCGTCCCTAGCCCTGGCAGAGGTGATGGTAGCATTTAGCTAAGAAAACCTTGAGGGGGCTGTTTGGGAGCTGGGAGCCCCACAGCCTGCTCTGTGCTGCTGGCTTGGCTCAGGGAACTGAGTCTCAGAGCCATTTGCAGGCGCAGCCCTCCCCAGTGCAGTCGCTTTTTTGGCGACTTGGCCAGTCAAGGGCCCATCAATGTCAGGACGTGTCTAGATGTGAGGGCGAGAAGCCCTTGGCCTGGTTGAGGGGCCTGGGTGGGGTCGGGAGCTGACCTGAGCCCCACCAGCCCTGTGGATGCTTACCAGACCCTTCTGGAGGTGGGCGCATCAGCAGAAACTGGAGGACCACGGGGCAGCCCACTCACTTGGGCCCCAGCTGTGTCTCGGTGATCGTCGGTGCTCCCTCTCTCTTGCACTGCCCTACAGTCCTCCTTGGTGAAGTGTGGGTGGGGGTAGATTTTGGTGTGTGGCCTTGCTATTTTCTGGCTGCAGGGGCAGAGGAAGGATGGAGAGGAAGCATGCCTTCATTCAGTGAGCACTAACTCCTACCAGACTCTGCTAGCGCCGAGGAAGGGCAGGGGTCCTGGGCCTGGGGAGAGGAGGCCCGAGGAGACACCAGAACACCCAGGCAGGGAGGCAGCAGGGAAGCTTCTCCCCTCATCACCTCCCACCACCCTGGACCTCAGTTTCCCATCCACAAAATCAGGGTGTCAGCCTCAGCTTTCCATAGGCCCTTCCACTCTGACAGCCTGCAATGTGTTCCGTGAATCCCTCCTTCTTTCCCCCGAGACTGTTAGGTGACTAGCAGCCTGACAGCTTTGGTAGACAGAGCAAGGAAAACAGATAGCATTTCTTAAAAGACAGACGTGTGCACGGTTGAAATTACAAACTGCAAATTGGCCCGCGCAGTGTGCTGACACAGCAACACTCCTGGCCCGGCTCTGCCTGTGATGTGTGTGTCCCGGAGCAGCTGCTGGTGTCTGCGATAGCAGAAAGATAAAAGGCACCCCTTCTTTCTCTCCTCCCTGCTGCTTGTTCTGTTCATTCATTCACCTCACTCACTTCATTCATTCAGTAGCCATTGCTCAGCACTTTTTGTTTGCCAGACACCACACTGCACAGAAGGGACAGGTCCAGCGGTACCCAGATTCCACACCTACCCCTCTGCCTCCTCCATCCTATCTGTCTTGCACCTGCCCAGGTCCGTGTTTCTTCCCAGGCTGCTCCCTCTTCCTTGGACACCCGGTCCCCTTTCCCTGGGCCAACCATGTTCAGGTCTCCAGGCTCCACTTGGAGGCTCTTTCCTGCCTGAGTCTCTCCTTGAGGCTCTCCTCATGGGTCCACTGTCCTGGCTCTGTGTGCACCTGCGCAGCTGCCCTCGTCTGCTAGATTCAGAGCCCTCGGGGAGCAGGGCCACAGCTCATTCAGCTCAGGCTCCCCAGAGCTCAGCACAGGACTGAGCAGGGAGTAGACACTTAGCAAACGCCATTGAATACATGCAGGAGAGAGTGAGTGGTGGAGCTGAGAGAATAGGTGGATGGAGGGATGATCAACTGGATGGATAATAGATTAATAAAAGATGGATGGGAGGATGAATAGATGGATGGATGAGTGGATGGGTGGATGGTTAGATGGATGGGTTGGTGGATGGATGGATGGGTGAGTGGGTGGGTGGATGGATGGATGGGTGGATGGGTGGGTGGGCGGGTGGGCAGATGGGTGGACGGATGGATGAATAGGTGGGTGGATGAGTCGGTAGATGGGTGGATTTACGAGTAGGTAGGTAAATGAATTTCAACAGAGAAGACAGGCACACAAACACCCTGCCACTCTTAGAACTCACTTTTAATTCATCTATTTGAGGACAATCCATCCCCTTTGGAATTTTCCAGTGACTTCTAAACTTGACCCTGGATAAATTACTTTTGAAAGTGCCACCTAAATAAAGCTTCAAAGGGCAAGTGATATACAAGTCACCCAGCTGTTCTGGGGCCCCAGAACAGCTTCAATGCCATCATCAGGGTCCCCATCATCCTGGAGATTTGGACCCCTCTCTCTGCGACAGCCATGGGGTGCAGTGGGAGCCCCAAATCTGTCTCATCAGAAATCCGTTTGTTCGAACCATTTCAGGATGCTGTTTGGGGTGGGCCGGACGCAGCACCAGAGGCTGCTACGATTTTCCTGGTGCTCGTGCTGTTATGCATGGCCATTGTTCTTTCTATAGGAGCCTCATGTGGGTTCACCTTCCTCATCTGTAACATGAGATTGGCTTGGATGCTGGGCATGAGTTCTTCCCATTCTGACGCTGCCCACAGCATTAAGTCTGAGCCCCTCTGAGTGGACATCAAGGCTGGAGATGGACCCAATCAGCCCAGTGCTGTGGCTCCAGTAAACCCAAACCACATTCTGTGCCCCCAGTTGGTTTGGTGCCCACCTCACCTTCCTCCCAAATATCCACCCAGCAGCTAGTAAGACCCTGCTGTGTGCCCATCTGCCTTCTCTCCTGCCTCTGGCTCCCCTGCACCCAGTCCCTAGGAGCTGTCTCTAAACACAAAGTCGGCTATGTCCTGCCCTGCTTTCAAACCCCACAGGGGCTGCCCGTGAGCCCACACTGGCCCACCTGGCCCACGTCCTCTCCAACCCGTCCCTAACCACACTCCATGCTTCTTATTTGTGGACCACACCAGTGGATTCCCTGAGGTGCCCGAGCTCTGCCTGCCCTGGGCCCCTGCTGGAGTCCCCTCATGTGGCTGTCTTTGGGCAGGGCTGACCCTTCACTGCGGAGAACTAGACCCAGAGCCCCAGCCCAGCAGCCACAGCAGGTCTGTGTGGGAGATGGAGACCCAGGGCACAGGCCACTGTTGCTTGAGGATTTTTCCAGGCTCAGACTTGTTAAAGAGGGAAAAGCTGGACAATCCTAAGGGTGGTGCTGCCCCTTTTCTTTTGGACCAGGTAACCTGGGCTCACAGCTGGTGGAATATAAAGAAGAAATGTACATCACGTCAGACTGCGGTCACACCTGGCGGCAGGTAAGCTGGCCGGGAGGTGCCCGGCACCCCCACCCCGTCCAGCCGGGACCCTCCGTAGACACTTCTGTCATCCCATCCATTCCAGAGGCTCCGTGGGAGAAGCTCTGAGCCATGTCTCCCATCTTGCAGCCCAAGTGGCTGGAGCCAGGGCTCACGTTAGCAGATGTGCATCTGCTGCATTTGAAAAGCAAGTCCAGGCAGATGGCTCAGACCACCCAGCTGCTCTTCCCATGGTCACTGATGGGGAGTGACAGATGCGAGAAATGTCTCCACACAGTTGGACATGTCACTGCGAACATCTGAGAAATGGGGATAAATGCCAGGGAACAGAACAGGGAGGAAGTCCCGGCCAGGAAGCCACATGGCGCTTCTGAGGCTTGACTTGGGCTCTTTCGGGAGCCCAGAGAGCGGCCAGGAGGGGAGTACGGGGGACTCCAGGTTTCTGGCAGGGGCTGTGGACACAGCAGTGGAAGAGAATACGGGGGGAGGAACAGGTTGTGGGGGTCATCATGAGTCTGGGTTGGGGTGTCTGGAGGCTATCCCAGGTCCCGAGAAGAGAAAGGAAGTGAGGAGTGGAGAGGAAGTGCACACTTACGTAGGACGCGGCCACTCCCACCAGCACAGGACGGCCTGGGCAGGGTCCTTCTGTGCTCTGTGCAGCTCTACACAGACCTCAGATATTCAGACTAGAGGCGATGGTGCTGGTGGCCCTCAGAGTGTAGAGACAGCAAGGCTGAGGGAGGGATGCCAGCCGGTGCCACGTGTCCTGTGTGGTCCAGGCAGCTCTAGGATCCAAGCCTGAGCTCCCCACCCCAGGAGGGGGCCCTGCCTCATTGTACACTGGTGGTTTCTTTCTGGGAGGCGGAACATGGTCTTTCTGGCTGAAGTTGGCCTGCCAACCTCATGGAGTGGCAGTGTCTGCTTTACATACTGGGGAAATCAATCAAACTTACATGTGACTCTCTCCTTCCAGACAAGACATTCTGTTTGAGGTCAGTGTTTTACATGCCCGAGTACCCCAGCCACGGCCCCCCTCCCACACAGCAGTGCTCTGGGCACGCGTGGTAATCCCAAAGTGCAGAGTTCACCTGCAGCCCGGGCCTTGACGTTTTTTAAAAATATGCAAGAAACATGGAATTTTCAAAAGGGCAAAGGCGATTTATTGTATTTTAATATTTCTATTTCACTAAAACTAGTGAAACATGTCTGAAGCTTCTTAAAGGTCACGTCTGTCTATTTGTTAGAGAAGGTTCCCCCGTATGAGATTCAATAGACAGGGTGAAATAGAAGGTTTTCTAATTTCATAGAAACGGATTGCAAGATAGTCGTAGCCGTCACTTTTGCTGAGCAATTTGCTTAGATTTCAAACTTGGGAATATCAGAATTAAATGGGAGAGCATCTAGGAAAGTGCTGAGCTGAGGCCTGGCCAGGTCTGTGCTTGGTGCCTCCCGAAGGACAGCGGGGTGCAGGGAAGGAGAGGGACTCACCTGGCTGGCGGTGGGGGACAGGAGCCCAAGGGGTCAGGCCTGTGCATGCATGTGGCAGGGGAGGGAGGGATGCTCCTATGGGTATTTTTTTTTTTTTAGTTTATTAGGGTGGGCTGGGGAGGAAGAATGCCCAGGCAGGGGCAGAGTGAGACAGAGGCAGAGAGGGCAGGGTGGTGAGCCCAGGGTGGTCTCCATGGCTTCCTCTCGTGCCCAGGTTGTCAGGGATGCAGTGAGATGCATCGAGAGAGAACTCAGAATACGAATGTGGAATGCCAGAGTGCATCTGGTTTAATCGACATCACCTTTCAAAAACATGAGTTTCCTAGGATGTTTTGTTTAAAGCCAGAAAACGTTACAGAGCCCCTGGCTGAAACCCAGTGTGTGGGGGAGGCAGGGAAAGGGTGAAGTGGAGACAGGAACTCTGCTCTCCCTACCCGGCCCTGCTGCTTGCTCAGGGCGCAGGAAACCACAGCGATGGACGTCTGAAGACCCTGCAGCCTGCTGGTGGAGTCTGGAAAACCCTGGAGCCACCTTTTCCCAGAGCCCCAAGCTAATGAGAGCAGATGTCATTCCCAGGATGGCCGGGAGGCACTCTGTTCGTCTCCCTGTGGGTGGATGTAGCAACACCTACCTGCCCATGCTTGGAGAGGAGGGTGGCTGGGCAGGCATCCGGGTGTCCCAGTGCAGAGCCCTGGCGCGCACCAGCTCAGGGGGCCAGCTCGGTACCAAAGGGAAACTGCACTCAAGGACTGTCAGGCTCTGAGAAGCCCACTGTCCTTTCACTGCACCACACCCTGCTGTTCAGCAGCCCCATCTCCCTCAGGGGACCCCCAAAGCAGCCGATTAGGCTCCCGGTGGAGCCAGGGAAGGGGGCTGCAGCCACACCTTCGAAGGGTGGGGAATCATGCTCAGGCATGGCGGGTGCGCTCATCCACAAGGCCCCTCTCCTCCAGCCTCACAGGACCCAGCGTGGTCTCCACCACCTGCCTCCGCCACCTCCATTGCTGTCCTGGTGAGGGAGCCTCGCTTCTCCTCGGATTTTCCTCCTTCCTGGAGGGGAGCCCGTTGCTTGGGGATTCATTTTCCTCCTAAATCATTGTGGGAGCCTCTAACGAGCCCCTGCCCCTCTGGTCCATCTCCCCCAGCAACCAAGGAATCTTCTGAAAGGGCATGTGCTCTTGTCACTCCCCGATCAAGCCTTGGGTGTCACACCGGCCTCCAAGCTGCCCATCTGTCCTGGGGCCTGTCTGTGTGCCCCCAGGGCTCCCGCCCCAGCCACATGCTTCCTGCTCCCTGGACACAGCTGCCCTCCTGACCTCCAGGCCTTTGCCCCTCCGTTTCCTGCCTGTGATGCCCTTGTGCCTCTGAAGGTTTCCCCAAGCTCCACTTGCCCTGTGTACCCCTCCCTGGGCTACCCACTGATTCAACTCTGGACTCTCCTTAAAACAAGATGTCATTTGTCCACAAAACAATGGCTGAGCCCCTCGTCCTGTGGCAGGGCCTGAAGGGTGAAGATGACAGGGCCCCCTCTCTAGTTGCTGGTACCCCGTGGGCAAGTCACTGTCACTGTGTGGGGACGGTCTGCTTCCTTGGGGGTCTCTCCCTAGGCTATGAATCCCTAGAGGCCAGGCCTGCATCTATGCTGGCACCCCCAACAGAGAGGACCCAGACCAATGGGTCTGTCGGATGGGTAGATCAATGGGGAGGAGAATTGTGGAAAGTTCTTCTTCCTAGTCCCCTAAAATCTGTGCCTGTGACACCGTAAAACCTACAGGCTGTCAACTCTTGTCCAGGAAACAATTTCTATGAATGTAGCCATAGGCAGTGTGCTTCTCCAAGCACTTTCCTGAGCTAGCGTCAGGACAGAGGATCCGGGCATGGCAACTCCCCTGCCCCCGCTCCGCCCTCGGGCAGACAGGGCTGTGAACCCCAGGGGGAGCACAGAATGTTGGGGGACATCTGGGGAGCCCCCAAGTTAACTCTGAGTCCCCACTCCAGCCTGCGACCCCACCACCCACGAGAGTGTGTACCCACCTGTGTGGAGGCAAGATGCCCACAGAGGAAGTCCCCGTGGAAGGGGCAGGGGTGGTGTCTGGCAGCCACCAGCTGTGTGGCCTCAGGCAAGTCACTGTGTCTCTGAGCCTCAGTGTCTCTGGAAAGTGGGGAAATAACCTGACAGCCTGGCTGCTCTTCAGTGAGATCCTGTGTGCAGGACGCCCCACGGGCGCAAGGTGGCTGCCTGGATCCTGCAAGTCCCTGACGGGCAGCAGCACCCCCACCAGGGAGGTCCTGGAGGCGCCACCCTTCTGTGTCATTTGGCCTCACCTGACAGACCCCGACTCTAAACAGGAAGGAGAAAGGAGGAGGGGAGGGAGAGGGGAAGAGGGAGAGAAGGGGGAAGGGAGAGAGAAAAAACAAGAGAGAGGAGGGAGGGAGGAAGGGAGGGGAGAGAAGAGGGAGGGAGGGAGACGGGAAGAGCGAGGGCAGGTTTTGGGACACAGCTGCTCGCCCTCCATCATTTTTCGTAAGGAGCCTCTCTTCTTTATCCAAGGCAAAAGTGCTTCCTGGAGAATTCCTAGGAGTGGTGGGAAATGCCAGCAGATTGTGATAACCAGGAGGAAACGCCTGGGGAAGGGCTTTGCAGGGAGGGTAACGGCATGTGCCGAGGGCCTGGGTGTGTTCAGGGAAAGGAAGCAATGTGGGCAGGGGCCCCTCCTTTGGGGCCCTGAGGCCATGGTAGGATTTGGGCTTGACTCTAAGGGTCACGGAAGCATTGGAAAGTTCTGGTGGGATTGAGGAGCATGGGGGTCAGGAGACCTGCTGGACACCAGGGCCAAGGGTGTGGTCTGCCGGCCCCCACCCAGGTCTGCTGGGGTTCATGTTCCTGTGATGTGGGGCCTCAGTCCGTGTCCTCCCCAGGGCCTTCTGCTGGCTCCTGGAAAACCCAGTGTTCAAACTCCAAGGGAGACTCCACATGGAGGGGCAGAGCAAAGATGGAGGCAGATGCTTCTCTTTCCAGCGTCCCCATGATTGTTCTCCAGCTGCCCTTGAATGTCCCCCTGGAGCCTGGGGTGTCCCCAGCTCAGCCCCCCTGGGGACAGTGCACACACGGCCCTGTTAGGCTCCGCACCTGCTAGGAACGGGTCAGCCAAGCCTCCTTACTTATCCCGCCCCACATGGCACGAGGTTGCTGCATACGTGTCCCTGGAAGCTCTGCACAGCTGCACCTTCCTGGGTGGCCCAGGAGCCTGGCTCAGGTGGACATGTTCATAGTCCCCAAGGGCTCGCCAAGACCCTGAGCACACTGAGATGGATGAGCGTGCTGGCCTTAGTGGGAGCTGCCTGGGATGGCTGTCCTCTGTCCCCTCCTGGGCTTCCCTGTGTCCTGCTGTGGGCCACAGGCCTGGGAGACAGATGGGTGAGGGTGGGAGGGCGAAGGGGGCCTCCTTCGAGGGGGGGCGGTATGGGGCGAGAGCAATGTGGCGGAGATGGCAGTGCCCTTGCTGGGCATGTTGAGACATGTTCTGGCCGCCCACACGTGCATGTTCACTGGAGATTCGGGGCAGGCCCCATGTGTCCTGGTGTGACTTTGGAGCCATTCCCCACTCTGCCACCTTCCAGCTGTGAGGGCTTGGCATACTCTCCACCCCTCAGAGCCTCAGCGTCCTCATGTATACAATGGGACCCCACCCTGAGGCTGTCTGCCAATAAGCAAGGCCACCTCCGGTATCCCCTCCCTGGTGAGCCCTGTCCAGGCCACTCAGCCTTTTGTCCCTTGGGGATCTGGTGGTCGGTCATTCATTCACTGGTTCACTTATTCATTCCACACACACTCCCTGGGCACCAAGGTCTGAGCTGAGCTCTGTGGGGTACAGAAGGCTCACAGC